AAAAAAAAAAAAAAAAAAAAAAAAAAAAAAAAAAGAAGAGAGAGAGAGAGAGAGAAACTGATAATTACTACAAGAGTGAGGGAAGAATGAGGAGCCCAATGCCAAAAAAGGGAAAATCCTTGAGCTAGCACAGAAGTGCACAGATATTCTTCAGAAGAGCCACTTTGAAAGAGAGAAGCTGTCCAACATTCAGTAGCAACTGACCCGTAGCTTATGGAAGGTTGAGGAAGAAAACCAAGGAACTCTGGACGTGATCAAGCCCCTGTAAAGAGAAAATGAAAAGTTAAATGAGTGTCTAAAACTAGAATGGTGTAACAATAATGTGATGACCAAAACTCTGGAAGACTGTAGTTACCTTGGATGACTTGAAGATAGACAATAGGCCTTGAAGGCTCATTTGGAAGGTGAGAAGCAAAAAGCCATGGAGACCAGGAGTACTATGGGGACAGACAGCAGAGAACTGTGAACTTCAGGAAATGTTTAAAGTAGCTCGAGCTGCGAAAGATCAGCTGGAACTGTCTTACACTGAACTCAGGCAAGAATTGTTAAAAGCAAATAGTGAAATTAAACACATTTCAAGCCTGCTAGCTAAAATGGAAAGATTATTCTTACCTGAAGGAGATCTGTGATCATCAAGCAGAACAGCTGAGCAGAACCAGCCAAAAACTGCAAGAGAAAACATCAGAGAATGATGCAGAGATAAAAGATGTAAAAGAAATCATATTTGAATTGGAAGCTCAGGTGAAACAGCAGCAGGCTGTCAGATTACACAATCAGCTCATTAATGAGCTAGAGAGTTATGTGATCAAGCTGGGCAAGCAGAATTCAGACCCGGGGTGGCAGCTGAAGGCCCTGACAGCAGATAAAGGAGGAGACTGAATGGAGGTGGTGCCAGGCAGTCCTGCAAATGCAGTCATGACATCAAATGTGAAGCCAGAGCTACACACTGTGAAGAGGCTGTCGGAGAAGGAGGAGAAGAATGCAGGCTACAGAAGGAGCTGGGGAACATGCAGGGCCACAGCAGCTCCATGGTCTCTGTCAGCAGAACTTTTGGTGCAAGAAACACAGCTCAGCCCTTGCCATGACTGGAAACTACAGCCATTTCTCTATGAAAGGAGGAATCCGTAGAGGAGAAATTGCCACTTTATATAAAAAAGCCCACTTGACTCCTGTACCATTCACTGTTCCAAACTGTGGCACACTGCAATCAAATCTCTTTTTTTTTTCCTTCTACATTTTCAGAATCAACTCCAGCATGATCAAAGATGAACCTTCCCTCTTTTTTTTTCTCTCTCTCTCTCTCCTTAACAAGATTTAGTAATCTCTGTTTTTGAGAATAAAATGAAGTTCTGGATAGAAAAAATGTCTTGTGAAAAAATATTTTGTATCTTCTTAGAGAATAGTGGCTTCGTAAACTCTCAAGTGGTGCTGAAAGCAGCCCATGCATAGGTTCTGCTTTTTGGTATTGATTTTCATGCTACTTATTTGAATATAGGATCTAGTCATCTTGAGTTGATAGTACTTGAGGCAAAATAAGAAGCCATCTGTGTGAGTGACTTATTCTGAAGAATTTAGAAAGTCCTTCCTTGTATCGAGTCTTGTACCTCAACCTGTGCACTCTGAGGTCTCACTTCATTGCTTCATGTGCAGCAAACTGCCACTAAGCTTCAGTTTGAGTTCCAGAATCTTTGTTGGGCTAAACACAAGTAGATGTTTGGTTGACAACAAGAAACGTGGTTAACCAGATAAGTATGCGCAGTGACAATGCTAACTGAAAACTAATGAAGGACAACTTACAACAAAGGCCTTATAAATAAAACTTGTCCTGGAAACTTAAAGACTTTTAATGCAGAAGGATGCAAATCAGAGAGATCCAGAATTCAAAGTATGGTGTTAAACCTTGGGGTAGTGCATATGTTGGGGAAGATCTGGGTCCAATTCAGCAGACTCTACCAGTGGAACCTACTACACTTCTCAGGTGAGGAGCATTCTGCGGTATATTTAATTAAATAGGGCCATTAGATACATGATAGAAAAATTAGGACTAAGAAAGCTCTTTAAACTCAAAAAAGGTATCAAACTGGAGCACACAGGCTCACCAGAAAAATTTTAGCTTGGCATGAGAAGTGACATTGACACCTTCTTTATAAAAAATACTTAGGTACGTGCTGGAGTTATCTTCATGTTTTAAGGGATCTTTACTGACTCAGGCTGAAAATTCTTAGAATTGACTTAAAGTCCAGCTGGTGGGTATTTTCTAATCTAGACAATAAGAAAAATGCAGCCTCCATTTAAAAGCATATTTTGATCTGTCTTTACTCTGGGTAGTGTTGAATATTTTTTTATAAGTAAGCATTTATGAAATGGTAACTAAATGTTATTTTTTAAAAAGCTAATGGAAGAGGCAGGCTTTCTTTCTCCCAGTGTGCACTACATCCTCCCTATCTTAATAAGGAGGCTATTGTTTCCACTTCTCCACCCAGCAACTGGAGAACTTTGAGCCTCGCCTTTCATTTCCAGGAGTTCAAATTGTGGTTGCATCTTCACAAAACATCTTGAGATACTTAACTTGATTTTTCCAGTCTTCCTCAATGTCAAAAAAAATTTTTCCAGGGCTAGCTCAGTGGGAGAATGCTTGCCTAGCATGTCCAAGGCCCCTAGGTTCACTCCCTAGACAATAAAATAAATAGGGCCAGGGAGTTATCTCAGTGGCAATGCACCTGCCTCACAAGCGTGAGGTCCTGAGTTTGATCCCCAGTACAAAAATAAATTTTTTTAAATAGAAATTTCCAGGAGAAACAGCAGCTTCTGGCTGCTTCCTCCACACATGGTACCAGAACATAAATATTTTGATCATCAGCCCAGTTATGAAGTGTCTCTCCTGTCAATCAAAGAGAAGTATTCCAACATAAGAAGCACACTAGTCTTCTCTACAGGAAATATTAGATTAAAACCAGTGCTATCATAAGAGAAAGGTGAAGGAGTGATCCTGAAAGTAGAACTTTCATGTTTGAAAACTATTTGGGATTCTAACTCTCCACTTCAAATATCAAGATGATTTTGGCACAAAACAATCTATGAAGATCACAATGGATCAATACATGTAGAATAATGGATCTTACAGAGTGGTGGAATAATGCCAAGTTACAGCAGGGAGATCTAGAATTTCTACAAGAGTTCACGAAGTGCTAAATTCCCAATCCAACATCCTTTATCCCCATCAGTGAGAGCCAGTAGTTTTAGTAATAATAATAATAAATTATTTACAGTATTTCTAATGTACCCAATGCTCGATTTCCTCCTCTCGGCCAATTCTGGGTTTGGAATTTCCTGTTATCTGTCTTTTAAACTGCTAACTGTCCAACAAAATCTACCTCCTGCAAGGTGTGGTGGCACATACCTATTCTCCTGGCTACTGGGAAGGCTGAGGTAGGAGGATTGCAAGTTCAAAGTCAGTCTGGAAAATTTAGCAAGACCCTGTCTAAACAAAAACAAAAACAACAACAACAACAAAAAAACAATTACAAAGGGCTGAGGTGTTTATCTCAGTGGCAAAGTACTTACTCAAGGCCTTGCGTTCAATCCCTAGTACCACCACCACCACCACCACACACGCACACGCACACGCACACGCACACCACTTCACAATATGATCATTAGGAAGTTGGTGCTGCACACTCTTCTTTAGCAGGATTAGTTGGTCCCTCTTTTCTTTGTGACACTGTTGTTCTATTGTAGCACTTGTACTGCGCCTGTTAACACAGTGATTAAGCCTTAGGCATCTTCATGTTTCCAGTACCTAGTCCAGTAATTGGCACACAGTTTGAGCTTCATATTTGTTTCATTTTGGATATATTACATTTAGGAGGACACTCAGATGGACACCCAGATGGAGAAATATCAGAGTGGCGGTGATAGCGTAAACAAATCCTTCATACTTTTTCTTTCTTATCCAGTGTCTGTACACTTAATCTACCTGTTTTTACGCTAACTTGCTTGGCGAAACATTTTTTAGTGAACATCCTCCTGTTTATCAACCCTCACCCAAATATCACCAATCCGTGCTAGGGATCAACCCCAGGACTTCGGGCAAGACGGGCAAGCGTTCTACCACTGTGCTACATTTCTAGCCAGTGGCTCCTGCATTCTTTCTGAAGGTATCCTCTTCAGGACATCAGCGCTTTGGAAACAGTGATGCCCAAAGTGAGCACAGAGACAGGAAGACACTTGTTCAGGCCCTGTGAGATGCAAAGGAGCCCTAGAGACTGGAGCTGCTCCAACGCCTCAGAAGGCTTGGCCTGCGGGTGGCCAGCGGGGGGCGCAGCGGAGCGGGAGGAGCAAAGCGGGCGGCGGGACAGGAAGAAGGAGCGGGGCGTTGCTGCGTGGGAGGAAGGGG